GGTGTTGGAGGAGATCAGCCGCGCCTGCGAGACTCTGGTGGGGCGAGCAGGGCGGGAGAAGAGCCCCCCGCCCCCTGCCAGCCCCCTGCCCACCCCGGCCTCCCCTCCGCCTGCTCCTCTCCTGGCCCCTGTGCCTCCAGCGCCCCTACCACCGACCCCTCCGCGCCCCAAGGATGAGTCCCGCAAGACACACATGGAACATCGCCGGCACCGTCGGTCCAACCGGGACGGCTCGCGGAGACACCGGGAAGGTAAAGCTCGCAAGGGGAAGAACCGGCAGATCCTGGGCAGCTTGGACGTGCAGAGCGCTGAGGGCCAAGCCCGGGAGAACGGCGCCAAGCCGCCCCCGCCTCCCCCGCCGCCTCCCCCCGAGCGGAGGTCCCCTGCCAAGAAGGAAGAAGGCCCGGTGGGCTCGGTGTCCACCATGGTGTGCTCGGCCGACCTGCTGAAGCTACGGTCCTTCACGGAGGGTCCCCCCAAGGAGCTGAAGATCCGGCTGATCAAAGTGGAGAGCGGAGACAAAGAGACCTTTATTGCCTCGGAAGTCGAGGAGCGGCGGATCCCTCTGAGCGAAGTCACCATCAACCACTCAGCCGCGGAGGTTGTGCGGGCCAGCAAGTGAGTCCTTGCCGTCGCTCCCCCGTTGCCTTCAAAGGGTTTCTGTTCCCTCAGTTAAAATACTGATTCACCGAGTAACCGACGGGGGTGTCAAACTCAAGGCCTGCGGGCTGGATCCGGCCCACCGGGTGCTTAGATCTGGCCCACAGAGCCACCCCCGACTTACAACCACAAATTAGGACCAGAACTTCTGTTGTTGAGCGAGACCGTTCTTAAGTGGGTCCTACCCAATTTTTATTACCTTTTTTGCCATGGTTGCGAAGTGATTCATTCATTCGTTGTTGGAATGAGGCGACGGCTCAGCGGTTAAGATGCTGGGCTGGTCAGCTGGAAAGCCAGCACTCAGGTTGGAGACCTGAGCGCCACACGACGGGGTGAGCTCCCGTCCCTTGTTCCAGCTCCTGCCCACCTAGCCGTTTGAAAGCATGCAAATGCAAGCAGATCAACAGGTACCACTTCAGCGGGAAGATAAGCGCTGCACGATGTCATGCCGGCCACATGACCCGCGCCAGCTCAGTGGCCTTGAAACGGAGGTGAGCGCCGCCCCCCTACAGTCAGCAACGACTTGTGGACTAACTTACCCACCGTGGCGCTTCACTTAGCAACCATGGCAAGGAAGGTCGTAAAAATGGGGTTGAACTCAACTGAAGAAGCGTCTCGCTTAGCAGCAGAAACGTTGGGCTCGAGGGTGGTTGTCAGCCGAGAATGTACGTTTTGCGCAGCTTTCCCCGGGGCTCACGTCGTCCCGTCTTCTTCCCACAAGGCATGCCAAGGTGAAAGGGAAATTTAAGGAATCGTACTTGTCCCAAAACCACTCTGTCAAGCCGCAGATCAACATGGACGAAAAGCTTCCCCGGGATAAGCTCAGCCCCCCAACACCAAGCATCTACGTGAGTATCCGTTTTTGCCGGGTTGCTGGAGGGTGGGGTCGCCGCGGGAAAGTAGGTTCTGAGGAGGGGGATGCCCATGAAATATCTTTGGGGGGTGTAAAACTCAGGGATCCTGAAGGGGGTTTGCAATCTACGCTCGCTCTAGTACGCAAAGCGGCCCCACTAGCAGCGCTTTCGATCAAAGCAACCACCAAGTTTCTAGCCCTCATGGAGGAAGAGGTCGATTCTTTTTTTTTTTTTTTTTTTTCAAAAAAAGTGGGGAGCCAGGGGTTTTCTTGCAAACAAAAAAAAGGGCGGAGAGGAAGAACTAGGGAGGGAGGGAGCGAAAACTGGACTTAAGGCGACAACAGTGACCGTCGTTCACTACTCCGCGGGCTGGGGTTCTGGGTGGGGATTTGGACCCTTTATTTTTGGGAGGGGGAA